ACAAAATAAAACTTATCATCAATTGTTCCTTTAACTTAGCTCTTAGCATGAACTTCCCCTGAATCTCTCTGTCCAAAACAAATAATTACTTCATTCTTACCAATAAATTGTTAAATTCATTCATCAATTTGTGTGCACAAATTTGTACTTGCATTTACTATACTGGATGTGTTTTGTACTCATTTATTGTGATGCTTTATTTGCATTCTGCTTTGTTTTGCATGGACTGTGATTCTTGTTGATTCCTAATAAACCATACAAAACTAGGGACACGTAATTAAGGTACCCCTTGATTATTGCCAGCAAGAAACTGGCTGATTTTCATGCGTGATTATTTATTTATAATTTCCACTGCGCTGCAATGCTTTCTTTTGGTTGGGAATAACCCTTGTGTCCTCAACAGATGGCAGAGGGTTCCTTTGCATTGCCCAGGAAATGTTCTGCTGCATAATAAATTAACAAATGTGACAATAAACCCTAATTTTTATCTGAAATGTTGGGAAGACAATGGCAGTTTACATTATCTGATGAAAAATTATAAGTTTGCTTTTCTCCTATAAAAGCACTTCAGAAAATTGTTCACCTGCTGAAATAATTCATTCTACACAGTCAACCCCCATCTAACGGACTTGATTCTTGCAAGGGAAGAGTCTGGTAGACAAAAACTCCTTTACACAAATTCAATTACATTAAAATTGAAAATTTCAATTTGCAACACTAATTTTAAACCAAAAGAAGTCTCTTTGGTGGATTTTGTCTGTTGGGCGGGAGGAAGAACTGCTTGCAGAGCTGGTCTGTTAGGCAAAAATCCCTTACACGGGAGGTCTGTTAGGCGGGGGGACACTGTATTTTTCAATCTGAGAAACCTTTCTTCAAGCCCACCTTCCTAATTTTTAAAACGCATTCCACTGCATAGTTACTTTATTCGGTTTTTAATTTTGCAAAGAAGAAAGAACGCTTCAAGTGCCTGACATAGCATCTTTCAAGCAAATGTGTACTTGAGTCTGTAAACATTATGTGAAACTTTGCCAGTCCGCAGAACATTTTATGGAAATTTGCTGGTCTGCGGACCCAAAAAGGTTGGGGAACACTGATTTACAGCATCTAAAGCTACAAAAAAGCTTATAAAAAGAAATTTGTGTGGAATTTTTTGAAATCCCGGTGGATTCAAATATACACTTTGTGTTTGAGAATTTTTAATTTGCATAATATTTATTCCATTCATTCCTATAGCTGAACTGTGTTTTTAAATATCCAACTCCTGTAGAAGCTGACCCTTTAAATATTTATAAATAGGAAACGATTAAAAGAGAACATATCACCTCGGTTTATTAGTGTTCGTACTGAAGTGAAATGCCAAGTCGCTCTTAGACAGGTAAGCTGTTGGTCCTGACGTTGCCCAACACTGACCCAACCTGGAGCCTTGAACCAGGTACTTTTTACCCAGGTTGCCACTGCTGAAGCCATCAAACTGAAATCATCCGCATGCATTTTATTGTTTTGGACACAGATTTGGAAAATATATTCCTGAATTCCATGCAAAAAGAAGACTTTGACAAGCTGAAGTATGTCTGGGAAAAGTGGAGGGACGTTTCTGGGCGAGCTGTCAGACAACAATTTATCGAATACGCAAATCTCACCAACCAAGGAGCTCTTGTCAATGGTAAGAAATCCTGGTACTTTTTATGAAAATTTAAGTGTATAATTTTTGTAACGTTGGATTATAATTGGGTTTGCAAAAATTTGAATTATTCAACCAATTCCAAAACTCATGCATGCTGTATTAATTTTTTCTTCAAATTGTTCAATATTACCGCTTTTTTCATAGTGTGAAGTAGAGTATACTGTATATTTGAATAAGAAAACAGCAAATCGCCATTTTTCGTTAGGTGAATCTTTTAAAGCTGTTATTTTATTGAAGTCATTGATTATCTGCTTCACTACCACTTTAATTTATTAGGCATCTCATCCACACACAAAAAAAAACGCACGGAATCTTGAATTTTCGGCATAATATTCCGTTTCTGATTTTTTTTTCTGGGAAATGAAAATGATTTTCTATTCTAGAATTGAAGGACGGAGGAGAACTGTGGCTCCGGCCTTACGAATCAGAAAACTTCCAGGAGCAAATTGCAAAATTGTACGACCAGTTGAGTCCGTTTTATCAAGAACTGCATGCCTACGTGAGTTACTCGTGATCCATGTACTGTTTATTCAAGAAAATGCTCCTCAACTGTGCCCACTTTCGATCGAGTGGTTTTCTCGCATTGTTTGACTCTGGAAAAAGAAAGTGAAAACAAGTTTCCCTTCGACTTGCGTCATTCACTGTCGAATCGAAACAATCAGCACCTGTGGCTTTTAAAAAGAAGATCCATTACAATGCGCTGATTTGTATCCACGAGTTGACAATACAGTGTGAAAAAAAAACTGAAAAAAATTATGATTTGCAGTTTGCTAATACTGCGGATGCGCATTCAGCAAATTTTATTTTACCGAGACGAATATCGGGGAATTTAAATTCCCCTTGGCACAAGACTCGTGCGCAAATTTGATTCGTCCGGAAATAAAATTGTGACAGCTTTTAAAAATTGTCCCTGATATATATATATTTTTTTTGGCTGACAGATGACGAGGTATAAATTTTTTTTCACTCTTGCCGTGTTGGCCTGTGTCGGTCATATTTCTGTGGAATCAGCAAAGAAAACATATCCACTCAGGGACTTGTCAGTGGATGAATTGAAAGCATACAAAGACACCTATTCTGAAAAGTACAGGAGTGAAGTCAACAAACAAGCAGAAGCTGAATGGGCTTTCCAGACGAACATCACAGACTACAATTCAGAAGTTCAGGTGGGTGATATACATTTTTCGGGAAAATAATTAGGGATAATTTAAGATAACTGTGATTACTTGAGATGATTTTTGTGTTTCTCTGATGGATGCTGAAAGTGATTCGATTGTAAAAACTCCCTTTTTCAAATATTTAAAAAATGGAGACTATGATAACTTTTTTCATCAATATTGTTAGGTGAATTCTTCATTGGAACTGTCAGCATGGCTGAAACAAGAATGGGTGTCCAGCATCAGCCAGTTCAATTTGTCCATCTTGGATGTTCCTGAACATGCTGATTTGAGGCGCTGGTATGCAAGCGTTGAGGTGCTGGGGATTCCTGCTCTGGATGACACCGACCTTGCAAAGGTCCATTTTGCTCTCAAATCTCCATTAACCCTTGGATAGTGTTGCACCAGGATTTCAAAACATTGGAACAAGAACCAGAACTGGGGCCCAGGCCGGGACATCATGTCCCAGGACCTGAATTCTGGTCATACTTTCCTATGTGCACCCATTCTCTGAATGCACAACTTCTTCTTCCATGCACATTTCTCCCACCAATCACAAGCAGGGGAGAAAGTTGAGTGTCTTGGTCAGGTTAGCTGACCAAGACATCATACAACAAAAGAGTATAACTACCCAAAATTCCCCTTTATCATGAATGAATGAACAGAACACTTTATTTGCCACTTTTCAGCGTTCAAAAGGCACAACCCAGACTCCCGCACCCAAACCCCCTCCGCACCCAACCCAACTCCCCCCAAAGACATTCAATCACTTCAAAGGATGAAACAAAGGACAAACCAATGACAAAACNCACTTTTCAGCGTTCAAAAGGCACAACCCAGACTCCCGCACCCAAACCCCCTCCGCACCCAACCCAACTCCCCCCAAAGACATTCAATCACTTCAAAGGATGAAACAAAGGACAAACCAATGACAAAACAAAAGAGAGAACACACTCCTGTTTTATTTTGAATAGTAGTTAACAAGGAAATTGAATCGAGAATCGTACTTGAAGGGGACTTAGAGAGACAGGTTTTGTTTATTAATGAAGTAAGAATGGTTATTTAACAATTTAAGTAAGTAGTTATTGTGTGCACAAATTTGTACTTGCATTTACTATACTGCATGTGTTTTGTACTCATTTATTGTGATGCTTTATTTGCATTCTGCTTTGTTTTGCATGGACTGTGATTCTTGTTGATTCCTAATAAACAAGACAAAACTAGGGATATATATGTAATTAAGGTACCCCTTAATTATTGCCAGCAAGAAACTGGTTGATTGTCATGTGTGATTATTTTCTTTCTTATTTGCTTTCTCTTGTTGGGAATAACCTTGTGTCCTCAACAGATGGCAGAGGGTTCCTTTGCATTGCCCAGGAAATGTTCTGCTGCATAATAAATTAGCAAATGTGACAATAAACTCTAAGTTTTATCTGAAATGTTGGGAAGACAATGGCTGTTTAAATTATCTGATGAAAATGTATAAGTTAGCTTTTCTCCTATAAAAGCACTTCAGAAAATTGTTCACCTGCTGAAAGAATTCATTCTATATTTTTCATTCTGAGAAACCTTTCTTCAAGCCCACCTTCCCAATTTTTTAAAGAAATTCCACTATACATAGCTACTTTATTGGTTTTTAATTTTTGCAAAGAAGAAATAACTTTGTAAATGCCTGCCATTGAGTCTTTCAAGCAAATGTGTATTAGAGTCTGTATAAACATTTTATGAAACTTGGCCAGTCTGCAGAATGTTTTATGGGAATTTGCTGGTCTGCGGATCCAAAAAGGTTGGGGAACACTGATTTAGAGCATCTAAAGCTACAAAATGGCTTGTAAAAAGAAATTTTTGGGGAATTTTTTTAAATCCCAGTGGATCCAAAAAGTCACTTTGTGTTTGAGAATTTTTAATTTGCATAATATTTATTCCTATAGCTGAACTGTGTTTTTAAATATCCAACTCCTGTAGAAGCACTACTGGGAAATTTATAAATATTTATCCTTTGCTAATTTTCTCTTGTATAGTGGAGCCAAATAATCACAAGCATGACTTCACTTTACGGTTCAGCGAGAATCTGTCCATTCGACAACCAGGACTGCAACCCCAACACTGACCCAACCTGGAGCCTTGAACCAGGTACTTTTTACCCAGGTTGCCACTGCTGAAGCCATCAAACTGAAATCATCCGCATGCATTTTATTGTTTTGGACACAGATTTGGAAAATATATTCCTGAATTCCATGCAAAAAGAAGACTTTGACAAGTTGAAGTATGTCTGGGAAAAGTGGAGGGACGTTTCTGGACGAGCTGTCAGACAACAATTCATTGAATACGCAAATCTCACCAACCAAGGAGCTCTTGTCAATGGTAAGAAATCCTGGTACTTTTTATGCAAATTTAACTGTATAATTTTTGTAACGTTGGATTATAGTTGGGTTTGCAAAAATTTGAATTATTCAAGCAATTCCAAAACTCATGCATGCTGTCTTAATTTTTTCTTCAATTTGTTCAATATTACCGCTTTTTTCATAGTGTGAAGTAGAGTATACTGTATATTTGAATAAGAAAACAGCAAATCGCCATTTTTCGTTAGGTGAATCTTTTAAAGCTGTTATTTTATTGAAGTTATTGATTATCTGCTTCACTACCACTTTAATTTATTTGGCATCTCATCCACACACAAAAAAAAAACGCACGGAATCTTGAATTTTCGGCATAATATTCCGTTTCTAATTTTTTTTCTTCTGGGAAATGAGAATGATTTTCTGTTCTAGAATTGAAGGACGGAGGAGAACTGTGGCTCCGGCCTTACGAATCAGAAAACTTCCAGGAGCAAATTGCAAAATTGTACGACCAGTTGAGTCCGTTTTATCAAGAACTGCATGCCTACGTGAGGTACAAGTTGTCGCAACACTATGGTGCTGACAAGGTCAGCCCAACTGGCCCAATTCCTGCTCACATTCTAGGTATGATTTAATTTTATAAAACGTTTGTTGCAGGAAATTCGTTGCGAGTATACAAGGGATGAATCGATGCCAATTTTTCTTTCTGTCCTGATTCGCAGGAAACATGTGGGCACAAGGATGGCAAGCGATTTTTCCAATCGTTTCTGAATTTAATTCTTCGTCATTGGACGTGACTGGAGCGATGGTCGAGGTTTGTTCTTCCTGTGGAAGTTTTTTACTAATAAAAAAAGCTTACGTCAGTTGATTAAGAATTTGTGCATTGCATAAAACAACAAGCATAGATGAAGAATTGAATCCAGGATTTTTATTTATTTTTTATTCAAAATTGTCTGCAGGATTATAAAAAAATATTAGACTTTTTCACAAACTAACGCCTTTGTACAAAAGTAAGATTTTCTAAATTACCAGTGCTAGGTGGCACAAAATGTTGCCAAAATATCCCAACTTTGCCACACAAGGGTTACTAATTTTTTTCCCACCTCAATGAGTGAGGTGTGGCTTGGTTGCCCAAGAAATGCCCTGCAGAAAACCCTTGCTCCCTCCCTCCCCAATCTTGCCCATTGGAATGGGACTCATGAGGCATTGGGCAAATGCCTTGAGAGAACTATAGCTGGGGACTGCTGGTTGCCCAATGCCTTGATTTTTTGCTGAGCTGGATGTTGGAGATATGCAATGCACTACTCAGGTTAAGCATTTTTCAGATAGGTGACATAGGTCTGAAGTATTTGTTTGATGAGAAGAAAATGGCTTGGACACAAGTGATGATGCTAAAATATTTATTGAATGAATGAACAGAAAACTTCATTTGCCACTTTTCAGCGTTCACAAGGTACAACCAAAACTCCCGCATCTTGACAAAAACAAAAGAGAACACACTCCACAAAATAAAAACTGGACATCCGAGGCTTATGTTGCATACACCCACCCATCCCCAATATTGAAGACAAAGCAGCAGTAAAAAATATTTATTTTTAATGGAAATTTATATGCACTGGCTCTTTCTTCATGAGGGAGAGATTGGTGACTGAAGGTTCACTTTTTGTTTCTTTTTTACAGCAAGGCTACACTGTGAAGAAAATGTTTGAAACATCAGACAATTTTTTCACTGGACTGGGATTGGAAAGCTTAGATACTGCAGCATTAGACTTTTATGGTGATTCCATGCTGGAGAAGCCAGCTGACAGGGAAGTTGTTTGTCATGCATCTGCTTGGGACTTCATGAAGAAAAATAAAAATCCTGGCGACTTCAGGTACAGTTAAATCCAGCAGTTCACAGTGGCTAATTTTACCCAACCTGTTTTTAAAATTTATTTAATTGTTTCTCTTATTTATTTCTACTAACCTTGACTTAAAATCCATAATGACAAAAGTTTATTTTTGACAGAATAAAGATGTGCACATCAGTGGACATGGATGACCTCATCACAATCCACCATGAAATGGGTCACATTCAATACTACATGCAATATGTTGAGCAGAACCCACTTTTCAGGGAGGGGGCAAATCCAGGTGATTTCAACAAAATACTGTACAGTAATATTGATGAAAATATGACCACCAGCTTTAAAGAACTTCCAAGAGCACAAAAAAGCCAAACAATAGATTAGTTTTCAATCACATTTTTAAAAGATAGGTTTCAAGTGTCAATTTGAAACTTTTTTTCAAGTGATTGCAAAATGTGATCTTTTTTTACATTTTTCATTGAACATCTGAATAATGTTCTTAACAAAAGACAGTATTTGATCCACACACAAAATTTCTAGAAATAATTTAAACTATAATTTTGCAAATCTCCTGCTCCTGTGGATGACTGTGCATAAAATCCACTTTCTCAAGTAATGCAAAGCTTTTATTGATGGTTATCTGAGTATCTTATGACTTTCTTGAATTATTTGACGCAGGTTTTCATGAAGCAATTGGTGATACACTGGCATTATCAGTGGCAACCCCAGTTCACCTGAAGAAAATTGGGCTTCTGGATCCAAATTTTGAACTTGATGAAAATTCCCAATTGGGATTTTTGCTGCGAATGGCCATGGAGAAAGTCGCCTTTTTGCCCTTTGGCTACATCATGGACTTGTACAGATGGAAAGTTTTCAATGGAAGCATAGCAACTGAAAATCTCAATCAGGAGTGGTGGAATTTGAGGTTATTTTCTTATTGCTTTCATTATAATTGAATTTTTTGAAGTATAATCCCTGCTTCTGTGCTTAGTTATTATTTTTAACTTTTTAACATCTTTGAGTGAGGAAAAACCTAATTAATACTACAGTATGTGTTTTGGACAAATGTCTTTTTTTCAAGTTGTGTGTTGGTAACTATGAATTCATCAGGAATCCTGAAAGGGTTCAAGGAAGAATTTTTCTTAATGTTATCAATGAAGAGCAGTGTTTCCAACTAATGTACTATCAAAAGTGAAATGAGCTCAATTACTTGAGCATAGCAAACACACCACATGATCCAATTTGAATTGAAAATAAGTATACAGTACATTTTCCTGGGTGAAGTTTCCACTACATCTGGGTTATCTGGGATTTGCAACAAAAACTCCATCTTTAAAAATTGAAGTACGGTATACATTTTATTTTCAAGACAGTTTGATGTGCAGAAATGTCATCCTAAAGAAGCAATTCCTAATTTCAAATCCTTAGCCATTAGATTTTTGGAAGTTTTCATGAACCCTCAAATCATTTAAACCAGCAAATTCCTGTCAAAATTTTGTCTTCATTCTTGATTGTCTTGAGTCTTCATTGATATTTGAATTTTACAGAGAAACATATCAGGGTGTCCAATCACCTGTTCCACGAACAGAGATGGATTTCGACCCTGGGGCAAAATATCATGTGGTGAATGATGTGCCTTACATCAGATACTTTGTTGCTCATGTGCTTCAATTTGACTTCCATCAAACCCTGTGTGAGTTGGCAGGCCAATTCAATCCAAGCAAACCTGACGAAAAGCCTCTTCATGAATGCGATATTGATGGTGACAAAACAAATGCAGGAGCTAAACTCAAGTAAGTGCACCATCTTTCTTTATGCATAGTGAACAATCTGTAATTCATGTGCATTACTTCAATTTTTGGGAGTTCATGAAAAAGGTGATTTTGCTTAGATTAGTCAAACATTATCTAAATAATGTGTTGCTCAGTCAATAATTGGGTTGCTGAGCATAGATCTTCAACAAGTATCTAGATATTCTAGAAGAAAAGACTTGATTTGAATTTCTGTCCCAAACCCAACTTCAATCAAATCCATACATGAATAATGACTGTACAATGAAGTATGTTTCATATAAAGTAGCATAAAATGATGTGAAGTATTTTTATGAAGAATAAGTATAATTTGACGTGAAGTAGAAGTACAAAGTATATGTATCAATTAATGTGAAAAATAATCAGCAAACCAAATAAAAGTGAGTGCAGCACACTTGGTAATAACACTTTAATGAACTCACATGGATTAATGGGAGCCCGTTTGTGCTGGTAGGGATATCAATACAGGATATACAATTATGAGTTTGATGTTTAGTATTTGTAAAAAGAATAAATAAAAAATTGACATGAAGTATCAGCATTAAGTACACATACATTATTTAATACAAAATAATTCCTCAGCAAATCATACAAAAGTCTGTGCACACTTTGTGACACTGCCCTGGATTAGTAAGGGAGCATATTTGTGTTGGTGGGGTTATTCATTTAAATAAGTTATGATTAATCATATCTTACTTGAACAATATGAAAAGGCACTGATCAGCATTCCTCAATCCTCAGCATTATTCATACTAAAGATTGAAGAAAAAATGTTACATGTACATTATTACTGTGATCACATTCAACCCTCAATTTTGTGGCAACCTCACAATAATGTGCTGCAATTTTATCAGAGCAAATCTTCATCCATTGTGTTTCAGCCTTATAATTATGATCTTTGATTTGGTGTCACTTTCATAATAGTTCCAAAACAGGCCAAAATCCTGGATGCATGGTGACACTAAATCAACAGGTGACTGTAAACTATGGGTCCAGGGACAATTTGAGACCAGGACAATTTGAGACAGAGCCTTTCACATCATCAATATAGACCCAGGAAAGTCATTTTGCAAATGCTTCTGTCTCAAATACAATCTGTCTCAAAAGGTTTCTGTCTTAAATTTTACCAGTCTCAAAGAATGTCTGCCTCAAGAACTGCCTGGTGCCTTAAATTGGCCTAGTCTCAAATTGGTCCTGCCTCAAATTGTCCTAGATCCATATACTTGGCAGGTTTACTTCAATTTTTCATTGATAAATTTTATACTCTGTATTTTCAATTTCATATAGCAATGACTTATTGCTGATGTACAAACATTTGGAAAATATGTCAAGAATTCTGTATTTGAGTCTAGAACATGTTAGAATTTTTTTAAATTACAGCTCAAGTGAAGGAAGTCATGCTCTGCAAAACAGAATTTCTGTATAGCAAAACTCATCCTGGAAAAAAAATTAGATTTGCTATATGGAGGACTTGGTTAAAGCGGTAATTCAGTATATATTTCACTTCATTTTAGTTTCCCTGTTTACTTTATTTGACTTGACTTCTGTCGATATCATTGTTTAAAATAAAAAAGGAAGACATGGAAATTTAATTCAAATACAGGTGGACTCTCTCTCTCTCTATGCAACAAAACGCAAAGGACTGCAGAAACAAATTTGTTCAGACAGATACTTTTTTTGTAGAAAACCCCTGTAATATGCTGGCGAAAGAACCCCACGAGGCTGGAAATAAAAATCTTTATACAGAGAATGAACAGGGGATTGTCGACAATATATTGTTGTCGAGAAAGTCGACCTGTACAATAACGTCTTGTCCTTGTACAGTACTGTATATATATATATATATATATTATATTTTTCTACAGGGTGCTGTTGCAAGCAGGAAGCTCGAAGCACTGGGCAGAGACCCTCGAGGGTCTCACGGGTCACAGTGAGATGACAGTGGACCCCCTTCTCAACTACTTCAAGCCTCTCAGAGACTACCTGAAGCAGCAAATAGCGCTGCACAACATCCCAGTCGGCTGGTCGTCGGCGGCATCCGAGAGCGAAGTCGTCCCTATTGTGGTCGGCGCCATAATCGCCACCATCGCGGTGGCCACCTTGATCGCCTTCGTGTTCGTGCGCCGGCGCAAAGCGCGGGAAAATCGCGCGTAATTTTTGTTCGTTTGTGTGTGTGTGTGTCTGTATTATTATTTTTTTTTGCCTGCGCAATCCAAGTTTGAAAGTGCTTTCCCACTGTTCCGGTGGTCAATTTTCATTCTTGAAAGTGACCCCTATATCGTTTAATTTGACAAAATGTTTAAAATACCTATAATGTATGTTATTTTTTTAATGCTTGCTGTAATTACTGGAGTACCACAACCCCTTGAGTAAGACACATATCCAAAATTTTCAACCCAAAATTTCGATGAGGTGCACATAAGTAATATGTGCACCTCATTTCAGTGGATGAAAAACTGCTATGATACAGTATTTCAAGAATGAGAAAAGCCAGAATTCAAATTTTGACATGAATTCAATTAATGTTCCATTGCTTTGATTTTAAAAATTGCTTGTTGAACATTTTCCATTACAGTACTGTATATCTAAATGTGATGTGGACCTGAAATTCTAAAATTTATATTTTTATTTTATCCCCACCTATGACAAGCACACCCTTTTTCCTCTCAATTTTGAGAGAAAATGGTGCATCTGGTACTTGAGTAAATACAGTATTGCTTACAAATGTTCATGAAAAGCCTTTGCCTGGATTTAATACTACAGTACTACAAAATCACGTTTGGAGCAAAACAAACGCTGACTTTATCAGGCTATAATCAATAAGGTCGACTTTTGTACAAAATACGTTACTCAACCTGCATCATAACGATATAGAGCCGTTCAATCGTTTTCACAGAGCCAGGAATTTGATATTCCATTATTTGGGTCACTTTCAAAAATAAAATTGAGGGCACTTTTATATCACATACTGTATATGTGCTGTATCCATACTTTTGTAGCTCCTCATGTCAGGTAATTGTACATTTTTGAAGAAGCGCAGGGCTTAAAAATTGATCAAGATAATTTTTTTTTTAATTTATTTTGAGAAAAGAATGTGAAGTATTTTAATATGATCGCAGTTTGCATGTTTAAAGTTCTATGCAAGTATTTTTTGGAGTAAATTTTTTTAGGGCATTCGAGAACGCGTCTGTATTTGTGTTGACTTTTTTCTGTTTCACTGATCAAGTTCACATTTCCTGTTCTAAATGATGTACTGTACCTTGTGTAAAGGTTGTGTTATTTGGAAGTACAGTATATGGATTTTTGGGCAACTGAAGATTATCTGTGCATGGGAACATTTTCATTTTGTGGCAATGTATCAATAACAGATGGATTCATATTACTGATGGAGTATCTTCACTTCCAGCATATATAGAGTGTTTCTCTATGTTTTCTGAAACAAAAAGCTTTGATTCTTTCAACATTGTTGACTATATGTGATGAAATCACTGATGAAAAAGTTTAATTGACTCAAAAAAGTTAGCCATACATTCCTTCTAAAAAAATTCATGGAGCCAATTCCAGGAATTTTCATAAAATGAAATGCTCCATAGTTTTGACATCAAAAACATACCCAATTAACTTTACAAAGACTTGCGCATCTTGGACCTATGGTCTCTAAATAGACTAAGAATACAGAATATGACTGCGTATGGAAAATAAAGTAATCTGTTTGACTTGAGTAAACTTCATCTCACTTGTAAATTCAAGTCAACTGTTTCCAGGAAATACTGCACATCAGTTGAACCTTAATAAGTAGACTTCTTAAGTTGAATTTTTTTTCAATTCCATGTCTGATTTCCCTTAGAAACAATGCATGTGAAAACTCCTTCAACTAAAAAGCTTTTCCTCTCCAACCTCCATAACTCAAATTTCATGAAGTCTTTTGGTTTGTGTTTTCTCAGCACAAAAAAGATGAAAGCAATAAAAATTTAAATTGATGTGTTTTGAAGGGAATTTAAAAATCAAGTGGGCAAATGAAACCTTTCCAACGACTTCATCTAATTTAAGAAGCACTTTAAGGCCCATGACATCAACATTTGCAATTTCCTGCAATTCTTCCATCTTTCCCTCAGCAAAAATGCTTGTTTTCCTAACTCAAAATCTCCAAACTCAAGTTTTTGCACGTCCCTTGAAATTTGACTCAAAGAGTTTTGACTGGTATTTATAGTGAAAGGTTAAAAAACTTGAGCACAAAAAAAAAACATCCCTCACGTCAGAAGGGTAAATGATGAGAAAGAAAAGAAAGTGAACCAGGGCAAAAACTCGGAGTTTCATCAGGTCATTTTTTCTTTGCTTCCATCTGTATTTTTTTTCTCAAGTTATATCCAAAATTTTCAACCCAAAATTTCGATGAGGTGCACATAAGTAATATGTGCACCTCATTTCAGTGGATGAAAAACTGCTATGATACAGTATTTCAAGAATGAGAAAAGCCAGAATTCAAATTTGGACATGAATTCATTTAATGTTCAATTGCTTTTATTTTAAAAATTGCTTGTTCAACATTTTCCATTACAGTATGTCTAAGTGTGATGTGGACCTGAAATTCTAAAATTTATATTTTTATTTTATCCACACCTATGACAAGCACCCCCTTTTTCCTCTCAATTTTGAGGAAAAAAATGGTGCATCTGGTGCTTGAGTAAATGCAGTATTGTTTACAAATGTTCATGAAAAGCCTTTGCCTGGATTTAATACTACAGTACTACATAATCACGGATGGAGCCGAACGAACACTGATTTTATCAGGCTATAATGAATAAGGTCGACTTTTGTACAAAATACGTTACTCAACCTGTATCATAACGATATAGAGCCGTTCAATCGTTTTCACAGAGCCAGGAATTTGGTTTTCTATTATTTGGGTCACTTTCAAAAATAAAATTGAGGGCACTTTTATATCACATACTGTATATGTGCTGTATCCATACTTTTGTAGCTCCTAATGTCGGGTAATTGTACAGTTTTGAAGAAGCGCATGACTTAAAAATTGATCAAGATAATTTTTTTTTAAATTTATTTTGAGAAAAGAGTGTGAATTATTTTAATATGATCGCAGTTTGCATGTTTAAAGTTCTATGCAAGTATTTTTGGAGTAAATTTTTTTAGGGCATTCGAGAACGCGTCTGCATTTGTGTTTACTACTTTCTGTTTCACTGATTAAGTTCACATTTCCTGTTCTAAATAATGTAGTGTACCTTGTGTAAAGGTTGTGTTATTTGGAAGTATATGATTTTTTGGGCAATTGATGATCTGTGCATGGGAACATTTTCATTTTATGGCAATGTATCAATAACAGAAGGATTCATGACCCAAACTGAAGACTGTAATCCATGTGAATGATAAAATTACTGATGGAGTATCTTCACTTCCAGCATATATATATAGAGGAGTGTTTCTCAATGTTTTCTGAAACAAAAAGCTTTGATTCTTCCAACAATTTTGACTAAATAAGATGAAAAAGTGTAATTGACTCAAAAAAGTTACCCATACATTCCTTTTAAAAAAATTCATGGAGCCAATTCCCGGAATTTTCATAAAATGAAATACTCCCATTAATAGTTTTGACATCAAAAACACACCCAATTAACTTTACAAAGACTTGCGCATCTTGGACCTATGGTGTCTAAATAGACTAAGAATACAGAATATGACTGTGTTTGGAAAATACAGTAATCTGTTTGACTTGAGTAAACTTCATCTCACTTGTAAATTCAAGTCAACTGTTTCCAGGAAATACTACACATCAGTTGAACCTTAGTGAGTAGAATCTTCTCAAGTTGAATTTTTTAAAATTCCATGTCTGAATTCCCTTAGAAACAATGCATGTGAAAACTCCTTCAACTAAAAAACTTTTCCTCTCCAACCTCCATAACTCAAATTTCCTGAGGTATTTTGGTTTGTGTTTTCTAGGAACAAAAAATAAGATATAAGCAATAAAAATTTAAATTGATGTGTTTTGAAGGGAAGTTAAAGACCAATTGGGCAAATGAAACCTTTCCAACAAGTTCAGCTGATTCAAGAAGCACTTCAAGGCCCATGACATCAACATTTACAATTTCCAGCAATTCTTCCATCTTTCCCTCAGCAAAAATACTTATTTTCCTTACTTAAAATCTCCGGAACTCAAATTTTTGCACGTCCCTTGAAATTTGACTCAAAGAGTTTTGACTGGTATTTATAGTGAAAGGTTAAAAAACTTGAGCACAAAAAAAAACATCCCTCACGTCAGAAGGGTAAATGATGAGAAAGAAAAGAAAGTGAACCAGGGCAAAAACTCGGAGTTTCATCAGGTCATTTTTTCTTTGCTTCCATCTGTATTTTTTTTCTCAAGTCCCACGCAAAATAAGTTTCGCACAAGACAATTTTTGCAGCGATTTTTTTTTTTCGTACGTCCATCCGTGCGCGGATCTCTTCTGTTCTCTTTTACAATACCGGTTCAAATCCTGGGTTCGTTGAATTTTCTTCTCGCCACAAAAAAAAAATAAACAAAAGAAAAAAAACCACACAAAAAACTTCACCGATCAAAACAAAACGAAAAAAAATCGTGAACCCGTCATCATTAAGTTTACCACCGGTTGCAGCTTTTTTCCCCGCGCGGACATCGGCTTTCGACGGCGAGCAAACATTTCTTTCTTCGCGTAAAACCATCCAAAAACTGCCGATTTTTTTCGTATTCAAAAAAAAAGGACAAAAAAAGAGACAGAAAGTTCGATTTTTTCCACACCTGGTAGTTTTTACCTATATAGAGACGCGAAGTGTGAATCTTCCCGTAGGCCGGACGAAAAGGAAGCTGCACAAATAAAAACTCACGCAAAAAAAAAAAAAAACGTCAAGAACATCGTTACCCGTTTCAATTGTGAGATTTTGAAAAAGTTCTTTCTCAAATCGTCTCTCACTCGGTCATCCCTCAAGAAAAAAAAAACACAGTAAAAACAAACCCGTTTGCGATTATCTCACGGAGAGACAGGAGGACACAAAATAACCGATCGAACAAAAAAAAAGCGGGGAGAAACCAGGCTTTTTCAGGAAGAATATGAAAACCAGCAGGAATTTCAGTTTTCAGGAAACGAAAAAAAAAAACAGGTTCTTTTGCCATTAGGAATACTGCCCCTATTGTTCTCGCGTTTTTTCTTTCTTCCTTCTTTCCAACAAACATTCCCAGCATATGCACGATCGAAGTCTTCTTTTCCCCCACCCTGAGTCAAAATCTTACCCGAGTTTTCCGCGCGTCTCTTTTTTTTCATTTTATGACCAAACTTCAAGAATACGCGGCAAAAAAAAAAAGCAAAAGGCCGAAATTCATCTTTTCTTCCTCTCTTCAGACGGATTCATTTCGCGACTAATATTTTCTTTTCCCTCCCTCACACCCGAACCACAGGGGGTACCGGGGAAACATTTTTGTTTCTGATTTATGCAAACTTAATACTGTCAACGAGAAGCTTCGAATAACGCTAGTCTCTGGAAGACCGACCTAGCCCATGATCTAACACACTTTTTATCATCTCAATTTTACGATAATTGAATAAAATCTTACGCACTCTCGACCAGCGACAATAAAGACCCGAAGAACAAAATATCGTCATTTTTCAAAATGTGAACACAAAACCTTGAAACTTCCGCGATTTTCCTCAGTACACGCAATTTTCTTTGATCTGCATGACGTTGCTTCATGGGCAGCCTAGTTTCAGTGCCAATAGTTGTTTAGCATCAACGTAGAATTTAGCGAGACTTTACAGATGATTCGGTTAGACAAAAGTTTGGGGTCACTCCGATAAATATTTGAAATAAAAATGTCTTACAGTTCTTTGCTTAAGCTTATAAGAAATTAACGATTTCTCTGCGAATTAACCTTCATCCAATTGTTGATCCGACTTCGAACTTCTTTGATTATCTATTAAATCATGGGACAGAAGTTTGCTCAGTTCAGTAAATAAATGGAATTAGTGAATCGTACTGTTTTTCACCACGTTTCAAAAAAACTCTACTGTAACGTCCATAAATTATTTTGAATTCCATTTCCTCGAAGGCTTCTCTAACAACCAATGATTTACGAATCAGCAAAAAGGCAGAAAACCCAACCAAAAAAAAAAAGGAAACGTGTAACTGCAAACTGTTGTCTAACCTTTCCTCGCCAACAGATGCCGTCAAAAATTATAATGGATACACCGAAGAAAAATTTAAGATCTACCTTCAATTTACAGTCTGAGCAAACGGAAGGTTCATTACGAGGAATCGTAGAAACGGTTTTCAGTACGTTCCTGAGTTTAACAAAAAAAAGAACCACACACGTGGTAAATTTTGCGTGAGCTCATGACGTATGAAGTTAATAATCTCTTCGATAATTCAGATATTCTCACGACCTACCGAATTCCGATCCCAAAATTCCAGGAAAATTTGATACATCTTTCTCTTTCTTTTCATATTCAATTATAAACTCGATGAGCTGTACAACGCGGTCATCATGCAGATTGCTCTCGGATTATCCTGCGGCAACAACAACAAAGAAAGATACCAGGAAAAATAGGCTCATTCCCGTGTGTTTTTAAGCGCATCAAGAATTCCGAAACCCGGCTAAATCGATTTGCTTGCTTGGCAACAACGAGGTCAGACACCCAGAATGGCAACTTGGCAAAAAATAAAAAATAAAGAGAACAGACGCGGGGGTTGAAGGAGGGGAAGGGGTACAGATCTGCCGCAGAAAACCGAGACTTGGAGGAGGATCTTCATCAGGCAAAGGGGGGTGTGCCGTCTCTCCTTCCGACCCCGCGAAAATTGCTTCCAGCACATCCGTCACACGAAACCCGATCCGAAACCCTTTCATCAAACGTTTCCAACATGAACCCAAGAAAAGAAAGAAAAAAAAAACCCTACCCATTCAATCCGTCTTTTTTTCCTTCTTCTTATCTTTCCCTGACGACATTTCCTTCCACCCGCAATTCGTCGACAACAAGGGGAGAAAAAAAAACAGGATAAATACTTGAGAAAAACGTTCGTAGCGAAAAGAAGAAAACAATTTCGGAGCAAGGACGACGCCCACCAAACGCCTTCCCCCTTTGTACAATCAACAATCTTTTTCCCTGAGAACAAGCAACTTTCTCTGTCGAAATCAAAACTCTTGTGACGAGAAAAAAAAGCATTCAAAAGAATACAAACACAAGAGGCTCCAGCTAAGAGTTCGATCAGAACATTCGTCGGCTGGAGAACAAATCAACACTCCACCCCATTTCCAAGACGATGTCATGTAACCCAACAAGGTTTGATTTCTATGCACTGAATGTCAAATTTCAAGAGCAGTTAAACAGCAGCTAACGGAACAAACAATCAACGGACTGCCGGAACAGAGACCAGATAGACTTTTCCTTTCAAATTTTACTGATTTTTCGGCTGAGAAACCCAACATTTATTCACACCATTGAAAGCATAAACTGAAGCGACATCTACCCGTACAAAAAAGAAGCGTTCCTGAGATAGAAACAGGGGCAACTTCGTTATTTGGATGGAGCTTCTTTCGTCTTCTTCATTCTTGTGAAGTGGAGTGATTGATTTGCCTCCCAGGAGCCCAAAAAAAAAAAAGTTTTCTCTCGCAACCAGAAGCAACTTAAAAAATAAATAAAAACCCTGGACCCCGTTTTTCCTCGTTCCCTTCCGCCAGGGCAACAGGGCAAAATAAACTGCGCCAGGAAACGATGAATCCATCCTCCTGCCTTTTTTTCAAGTTTCTTAAAAACCACTAAAAACATTCTGAGGTAGATCTTCACGCCGCACATGCCGCAAAAATAGCGAGAGACAAAAAAAAAAAGTTGAATCGAGCACAGGTACAAACACCCTCGAAAAATGAAGCACCGAAAAACCGGCGGAGGGAAACCCTCCTTTTTTCGATGCAAAAACCCCTTGCACAACACTGCTCACGCAGAAAAAAAAAACCAAAAAAAGATTTCATCTCGTACCTCGAGCGGAGCCAAAAAACCCGAAATGTTTACCTTTTCAAGATCACAGGAAGTGGATTTCTTCCGTCCCCTTTTCCGTCTACGCTGGGCACTCAGTCGTCTTCAACGAAATCTCTAAGTTCTCTCAATATAGCAAACGATTGAAAGAAAAGAAAACCCTCCGCTGAGTTTGACAGGAGAAAAAAGAAGGCAGCTGATTGAGCGGAGAAGATCAGCGCGCAGATCACCGATCCCAAATACTCGCGACTACGATAAGAAGAAACGCGCGCGCCCTCTATAAAGACTTCTTGTATACCGAAATTAAAATGCGCGCAAGCGGCGACATCTCTCGCTCACCGGGGAAGAGAACTGTTTGATTCCCAGGATTAAATTAATTTTTTTTTCTTTTCCTCGTCATTTCAAAATGCCCCTGAGTTCTTTTCGTCCTGTCGTGTGATTCTTCTTATTTTTCTCCCTCTTTTTTCCTTCACCCCCGCCAAGGTTCTAAGCCCAGCTTTCTCCTCTTCATTTTTAGGACGAACAGTTACGTGAATTTTAGGGGAACGGGTCGAAAAGGCTTGGCATACATTTTTCGCACTTCAGACAACGCGTGGGAAAATTCTCAAGCATTACAGATGAAAATTTCAATGTTTCAGGCGAATGACAGATGAACATCAACTGATTCTCAATCTCTTAATTTTACGAACTCGGACACCCGGAGCACTAATGAAACATTCCTGCTCAAAATTGACGCATGAAACATACTTTTAAGTTCATCAACTAAACCGTTAAATCCAAAGCGAAATTTCAATCTTGAAAAGAAATCTCTAGGAAACAAGCGAAATACATGGAAAGACAACAGATTTACGGATTTTCGAACAGTCGCATTGGAAACAAAATCTTGCACGATAGTCATGCACATTACATTCAATCTCTAGCTTTACGAAAATTAGATCTCAAAATATTATTTCGAGGGGTAAATTTTCAAGCATTGGAAATTTCAATTCTTGAATGCCTCATACAAAACCTACAACACAAATGGAAGTCAAAAAATTATTCGCAACACTTCACCGGGTGCTTTTCCTTCACTCCGTTTTCACCGGAAAAATTTCTCGCAAACGGAAAGCTATTCGTTTTCATTTAGGTGTCCCAAGTCAAGTTCTCAAAACTTTTCCGAATTATTCCCATTTTTCGTACACGAAAAATGTCCCTCATAGTTCATACTCTTCTGAAGAATGCAAAGCTTACCACGATTACCGTGGTATCAATATTGACAACGTGTGAAAAAAAAAGCTAGTCGGCTGTTCCATCACGTTTTTCAGGTACCTACCCAGAATCATTTTCGCACGATACAAATGACGCACACATATTACCATAAGTAGATGAAGGCAGAAAAATCCTTTTCCCACAATCAAGACGCTGAGAAGCCCTGATTTCTTTTCGAGAGATGAAATCTGCCTTAAAAACGAAATAACGTCATTGTCGAATACACACGACTGCCTTGGGGAAATTAAAAGTCAAAACTATAAATTTGAGTCAGTCCATTTGAACTATTGGAAGCGAATTCATAAGAAGAATTGGCAGCGGATTTGAAGAGAATCCAAGACTGCGAACATGCAATCGTATTTCTTGTACGAGTTTTCTAAGTTTGAAAACAAAGGAACCCACAAATTATTTGGAGTTTTTGACACCTTCTAGCAAACATTTTTGAAGGAGAAAAACGTGAAATTCTGAAGATAATTTCAGTAAAAGTTTTGCAATTGCTCAGATAAAAGAAGAGAAGGGATGTATTACATTATTATCTGAACACTGTATAGGATGCTACTGGATTTTCAGTCAATTCAAAAACGATTCCGATACAAAAACCCAACAAGATTTGATCATTTTTCGACGTAACAATCATTCAAGAAGGCAGATTTATCCAAGAAAGGAGTTCAGAGCTTCTCCGTCCGCGTTTCCGAAACATGAAAATTTTCTTTAATCTTTGATTGCTTCGGGTCGGTTTTTTTGGCTGCCGAAGAAGAGAGAGGAACCTTTAGAATGGGGAGGAGGACGGGAGACGAGAGGAGGGGTTGATGGTGAGGGTGGAAGAGGAGGAAAAACCCCTCAGGCCAGGGGAGACAATTCCACACCCGAACGCTGCTTCGACGTCTGACCCGACGATTTCCCGACGACCACCGCAAAGTCCGACGCCTGCGCGAGTAAAATTGAGGTCCAGTTGGTCGTCGTTCCTCCACCACCACCACCACCACTTTCGCCGTCGCCATCATCATCATCGTCGTCGTCTTCAATATCGTCAGTCACATCCCGACACCGCAGCGGTTCCAGCGTAGCATTATTCCCGCCGCCTTTACTTGAGTCGTAGCCCGAGGAGCAGGACGACGAAGTCGTTGAGGTAGTGGATCCCGTGGGCGCCCCCGCGACGGCGGAGACTACTCCTGATCCTGCTCCGCTTCCCCCAGCAGTGGCGCTGTTATTGCTGCCGCCAGCTGCAGCCAAAAGCGGTTCCGAGCACGCAGCAGCCAACGAGTCCGCAACGGCGCCACTCACACCGCTTTGTACAGCAACAACGCCGCCAACAACGTCGTCCTCGCTGCTCTCCACGATGACGGCTTGAGGTAGAAGCGGGCGAGGTTTCCCGCTGGGCTTCTGCGCGTGCAGCACGTGGCAACTGCACTTGCAACAGCACTCTGTCGCCGCTGCTGAACCCCGTCGCGGCTCGAACCGATGGTCACCTTCTTCCTTGAACTCGTGGAAGTTGTGCATCACCGCCATACCCGTCGTTTCACCCTGCATAAAACAACGAACATCACAAGTTCGATCAATCAAATATGCACACAAGCACGCAAAAAATAATAAACGATGAGCTGAGTGAAAATACCAATAATACCGTAATTACTCAAGTAAGACGCGCACCAGGGCTAAATACTTAAATTTTCTTTTTATAAAATGCTATCCCCGGGTAAGACGCGAAACCCATTTGTAGTGACTCTGAAACTGCAAAATTTAAAAAATAATAAAACCCAAATTTGGATTTAGACGATTTGATCCTGAAGTAAACTAACTTTCAATTATTTCTTTTAGTGTAAGTTTTTTTTATCGGAATTGGTCCAGAATTTTCCATTAGAATCGAAAATTATGTACACCGATAATTCTACAACTTTCGGAAATTCATACCCGTCTATTATTGGGCAACACGTTTTGAACCTTGTGAATGCTGACAAGAGGCATATTTATAAATCAATCAAATCAAGTACCGTTCGAGGTAGCATAGGAGTGAGAGCGGAGAGCTCAGTGACGTCGGCGTCTCCGCGATACCGGCCGCCATTGGGGCGCGGGTCGCTGTTGAGGTAGCTCCCGATTGAGCCGTTGCCGTTGCCCAGGAAGAGCCCGCCGGTGGCGCCCGGGGTGGCATCGCCGGCTGGCCCGTGTCCACCACCGTTGACGGTTCGCGGGCCATTGCTGCCGCCACCGCCTCCTCCACCGGGCCACCAACGCCGTCGACGTCGTCGACCAGGCCCGCTGTTGTCCGGATACTGTCCAAACATCCCGTTCATTCCGGCGTCCCGACGCCGCCGGATCACGTAAATGTAGGCCACGGAAATGAGTGTGAGGACGACGAACGAGAACGCCATCGCCGTCATAATCCCCACAACGTACACTTCGAAAACAAAAACGACTCGTTATTCTCATGTGTTCCATACATCCTCAAGATTAATTTCAAGTACGATGTTTTGTGATAGAAGTCGTTTGCTTCACATGACACTTGAATTTGAAAAGCTTCCTTTCATCCGAAAAAATCGGATATGCCAGAAGTTGTCGAACATTTTTGCTGCCATCAATTCTTGTTATTTAATGTTCAACCCCGGAAATATATTTCTGAAATATATCTATATTTCGTCCGGATTCTTCACTAATCTGCCCGACAAAATCCCTACTGAACGCGGAATAAATTGAACGACACAAATTTAGCACAGCATAAAAGAACCCAACGAAATCTAACTTGATATTCTCCAGGCAAAGCTGAACAAAATTTCAGCAACACTTCCCTGCGTTATGGAAAATCAATACTTGAAAAATGTTAAAAAAATGTTCAAATACCTTTATTTCTTAAAAAATGTTCAAATACCTTTATTTCTTAAAAAATGTTGATAAATCGAAACCTCAATGAGCCGCCAACATTTGCTTACGAGGTTCGCGGCGGTTTAAAGAGGCGATTTCGATTCAATGGAAAAAAAACATGAACATTTATTTCAACAAAAATTAAGATTTTTATTCTTCTTGAAAACAATGAAAATAATATTGGGATGCTTACATTACATCTAGCCACCGTACCCAAAAAGTAAATTATGCCCTCTTTGAGTTTGTGTTTTTTTTTTTGGAGACCTTTCGTAAAAATTTGAATTTTTTATCGGGCTATCGACGAAAAAATTAATTGGCGGTTTTGAGTTGTCAATAAATTTGGCGGATGGCGTTTTAACGGGATTTCCAAAGCTATTATCATTAGGGAAGGTTTGTTTTTCAAAATAAATTGGCGGTTACCGAGGGTCGTAGATTATCAAGGGGTCTCAATGTTGTTCGACTGTAAGGAGAATTCGATATTTCGCTGGTGTACAAGCCAGATTTCTAGGAAAATGTTTCAGTTATTTTTATTTTTTATTCTAGCTGATTTTTGAATTGCTGCTCAAAATCCGACTGCTGCGCATAAGCTCCTAATACTGCATTCTAATGGTAATCTTCCCGGACGATGAATATACAATAAATTAAACGAACGACTTCCTTTGTCCTGGGTCTTGAGATCGGAAAAAATATAAATTTAGAAAGAAAAAAAAAGAATAAAATTACCAGGAACGGATCGGGTTTCGTCCAAGTTGCCCTCGACGACCTGTTTGGGCTCGTCTTCGGGCTGTCCAGTGACCGGGGCCGGGGCGTCGATTCCCGAGTCGACGCCGTTGTCGAACGTGAAGGTGAGCGGGGGATTGGACATGACGCCGCCCACGTCCGACTTGCCCAGGGATTTGACGCGCACGTGCACGTTGTACTTGCGACCGCGAGTGAGATCAGTCAGGTCACCGTACCGGTACTTGGTGTCCTGCCGCATGAAAACCGCGGTCGACGGCATCATGTCGTGGTAGTAGAGGATTTCGTAGGTCACGTCGTCCTCGGCGGGCAAGCTGTCGGGCGGGTTCCACATGAGCCGAACCGCGTTCTTCATCGGGGTCCAGGTCACGTTCAGGGGAGGGCCAACTGAACAATAATAATAATAATAAGCGCATCGTCGAGATGAATATTCATCAACAAATCACATATTTCTTCTTTTTTTTCGGGAATCACGCACTTGAAGAATTATCGTCTTCACACATTGAACAGTGCAGCACTTCACGACATTTACTTGAGTAACACGTGCACTATACTCAAGTGTAACCTGTACCTGGTTTTATCAATCTAGAATTTGAAGAAGAGCCCCATCTTCGAGCAAGATGCGCACCCATTTTTAGTTAGTAAAATTTGAAAAATTTCGAAAATAAAACAACATAATTTAAATTTCGACTTAAATTGAATACACTTCCAATTTTTCCATTTCGTACGAATTTTCCTCAAATTCGGTGAAAATTCCCATCAGAATCAAGTATGACGTGCACCTGAACGACTACGATTCTTAAATTACGGTAAAATATTTTAAATTTGTACTCGCTTACGACGAGTACCCTTTTTTTTTACGTCTCCATTTCGTAAAAAAAAGGTGCGCGTAGTACTAACTTAAATAATACTGTACTTTTAATTAACGTTAGATAAAGTTTGTTTTACTCAAACCCTGTAGGGGGCATTTTTTGTCATTACGAGACGCAAAACCTATCTTTATAAAAACAGCTACAGGTGGACTCTCTCCACAAAAATCTTGTCAACAACGATTTTCTCCGATACGACGGTTTGTTTTTTGTCTCAAAGATTTTCTTCCCACGTTATACGGGTTTGTCTATAACGAATTTTAACTGGTCTCTTGAATTTCGTTGTAACGGAGTCCACCTTCAACAACCAATTTTTTAAACATCGAACAAAGCATGAAATTGGCTATCTTAGATTCCGTTTCTAATGCAATAAATATAGAGAATGTAACGGAGCCCGTGTACCGAACATTAATTTCTGGAGTGCCGCTTCAGGCATTACCTTCATCACGGATCTGACCTGGGAAATTAATAATTATTTGTAATATTTCTGTAAGTTTCATATCCTACAACCTTCGCGCAAAGCTCAGCCCACTTGAAGAAACCCAACATTAGCGGTTTTTGAAAAATATCTTTTCAAGACTCTTACTGATGACTAGCAATTCTTTCCAATGATCGTACAATATTTGAGACTGGAAAATAGTAGCTCTAATGCATGACCTCAGTGAATCCGATTAGCCTCAATTTAAAAAAATAAAAACGGCAGAATTACTTTGTTTCGTGCGAGCCGTGATCGGCGGATGACTGCAGTCGGTGCTCTTCCCGTTGCGATCCACGGACCGAATACAAATCATGTACTCGGTGTCCGGCATGAGCTGGACCAGATCGGCCTCGTTCTGCTCGGCGTCCAAGTGCCCGATGCGACCGACGGAGTTGTCCTTGAGGATCTCCCGGATGCTCAGGTTGTACTTCTCCGCCTCGGGCACAGCGTTCCAACGCAGCTTGATGCTAACCGGCGTCAGACTCGTCACCAGCACTTCCGCCGGTGGCACGAGGCGGTAGTCCATGTTCAGGGCCTGAGACACCGTCACTGCGTTCGCCTCCATTCCCAGACGCATGATCGGAGTCAGCATCACGTCGTATCTTCCGATCGGGTCTGATGGAAAAGATGATTCGGCCAAATCAAGTGACATATCCCGAAACAGTGAAATGAACGTTCGAACTTCAGGAATTGCGATATCTTTTAGCAAACCGCGGAATTAATTATATGCCAAGGATTCTCGAACTGCACAATTTTTTTCTGCAGGCGGCTGTGAAAAAAATATCAAGGCTGGATTTAGTTTCGATGACGTTCATGTGTTCTCAAGAAAATCTTGGATTGAAAGTTGGTTAAAATTTAGAATTTTTCAAAAGATGGAATAAATCACCAGACAACGCACGATCTCCATCAAGGACAGAAACTTGGATTATCAAAGAACAGTTCTTTTTAAACTTTCGGGGGCTCAGGTATGATTACAAAAGTACGCCTTCAAATCGTGAGGACTTACTGTATTTACGCAAATATAAGCACACCTCAAACATAGTTTAAGCACTTGAAAGTGGGATGCATACCATATATTTATACGAGAATTGCATATACTGTATATGGGAAAATCAGCACCCCCCATTGGTTCTTGAGCTTCTAAAATTGGAAAGTGCCCTACAGTATTTGCATGAAGACCCCACGGAGTATAGATTCTTGAAGCGATTAATGGATAATCTGAATAAACTTAATTCGATTGGATATTGCGTGAAGATATTTACCGAGGTTGTGTAAAACATAGGTGTTTTCTGTTCCGGGAATGGCTGCTGTGGTCACGTTTTGCCTCGTCTTCGACTTGACCTCGATCTTGTACTTGGATACACTTCCAACCAACGCTTTATCGATCAACGTCCAAGAGGCCTAGATAAAACAGAAACACTTAACGTTAAACCGAACTTTTCCGTCACCGAAAGCATCTCCAAAATTCCAGTAAAATGAAAAAGAACATCAAACGAAGAACACGGAGGAGTTGAAAATCAATCCAAGTCGAATTAGACCCCACAGAGACCCCTTTTCAACTTCTTTTTCTTTTCAATTGTTTTTCGCTGAACCACAGCTGAAAAACGTGAAAAATGGCGTACCCGAGCAGTAGTCGAGTTCAATTTTTCAAGAAGCAGGTGCAAAGCGGATGAAGACGGTCGGTCCACCACGGAACGCGGTAGGGAGATCCGTTTCGGCCGGAAGAGCTCCAACATGTAAGCAGGATATCCGGAGTCTCCAGCAGCTAAGACCCTGAATTCGTACTCTGACCCCGGAAACAGACCTGCACCAAACAAAAATGCCGTCACAGAAAATCAACAAGGGACAACAAAGAATTTTTATAATCATTTTTCGCTAACGCTGAAACTGGCAGGTTCTTTCACGATATAGAGCAGTATTTTGACTAATCTAGCTGACTCGACACCATATTAATCCAATATTGTTTTATACTTTTATTAGCATATTTTTTTGAATAACCTCATCCGTTACACAATATTTCACAGCTGACATGAACAATAACCTGATCCGAACCACACTAGCCAAAAATTCTGAATGTTTGATGCTGGTTGTCAGGCATAAATAGAGTTGACTCGAACGTCCCTAGGTCGAATTTTCAAATCCTCCTCTGAATTCCCTTAGAAACAATGCAGTAAAAATCTCGCTGATTCGAAGCATTGAAAACATCTCTAACTGGAAGGCTTTCCTGTCAAACCTCCATAACTCGACTTTTCTGAGGCCTTTTGGCAATCATTCTCTTGACACAAGAAAGAGAAAAGCAATTAAAATGTCACTCCATGTATTTTGAAAGGAAGTTTAAGACCAATCGGGCAAATGAAACCTTTCTGACAAGTTCAGCATCCTTTGAACTCATTCAAGATCAAGAAGCATAATTTAAGACCCAGAATATCATCATTTACAAATTCCTGTAATTCCTCCATCTTTCCCGCAACAAAAAATGCTTGTTTCCTAACTCAAAATCTACACAAATCAAATTTTTTTCCGGGCCCTTGAAATTCGAGTTGAAGAGGCTCGACTTTACAAGAATCACCACCAAACAGCTGTAACAAGCAAAAACTCTCTCCACCTCGCCGCAGTAGAAAAACGAAATCAAAGGGTTATTGCCTTGAATTTTATGAGGATCAAAATGTATTCCCTTAAACATGAGATTGAACCCGAAACGAACCTGAGATAATCTGAGAGCGTTTGTTGGCAGGAACTTCAATGTCCGAAGCGTAGAGTTTCGAATCCGACTGACTCTTGATCCACCACTCGACTTTGTACTTTTTGATCTCCCCCGATCCCACGGATTCCGACAAGAATTCATTCCACTCCACCAACACCGCCGTGGCATTGAACTGTTTCACTGTGAACGTCGGTTGGATGCTCGCTGAAATCGAATAAATAATTATTTAAAGGCATTATAACACGATGTACGGAAACGAATGCATACTGGTATCAGCGGCAGTCCCAATCTCTTTCTTATTTAAAAGTTACGGCAGTAAAATTTCAAGTTTTACGTCCGTCTCTGAGCGTTCAATGCGAGGTTTGATATTACAGGTTCTGTTCGGCATTCTGCAATGTCATGAGAATATTTCAAGCTATTCTCAATGAATCATCTTAGTTCTCAGCATGTCAACGATCAATATTGATGCACTCCTGTTGGTGTTTCTCCAACGACTTTGAATAACAACGGCCGGTGAAAACGTTTCTAATTCACAGCAATTTTTTTCAAACACTCGATAGGTAGGATCTAAAGAAGCAACGATTGCATGATTAAGAGCACATCCTGTATTAAATGAGAACAGCAGTGCGGCTTTTACTTTCTTATTCGACAGTGACGACAAATCAGGACACGAGCACGTCAGACGGATGCGTGAAGCTGATGTAAGAAATCCACAGTATATTCAAACACAGTAACAAATGAAGGTCAATAAGGATGAGAGGTTTTCAAGAGAAAAACATGAATTAATCCTGAAATATCACAGTATGAAGCAACTCACGGTTCTTCCCGGCAGCCCACGAGACATGAGGAGCCGGTTCAGACGAGGATCGACTCTGATACGCCCGCACAGTGAAATTGTACTCTTCGTTCGGGTCCAGGCCTTCAATGATCGTCCACGTCTCGTTCCCCGACACCAAGTTGTTTTTGTTGTGGCTCAACTTGGGGTTCCCCACAAACACGTCCACCGTGAACGCAATCAACTCTCCCGCGGGTCGGTCCCAGGTCAACAATGCCGTGGTCTTGGGATTCTCCGGACTCTCCCAGGCTCTCAGGTTCGACGGCGGGTCCAACAACACAGACGGCGCCTCAACTGTCAAATTCGCAGCCGCCACGACGGAACCGACTTCGTTCATCGCCATACACTGATACACACCCGCGTCGGTCTGGGCTAGCCCCCTCACGATGAGCTGACCACTCTTGACTTGCATCCTGCCACCACTGGACAACGGGACGCCATCACGGAACCAAGTCACGTCCGCAGGTGGGTTCGCTTCGTCCGAGCAATTCAAACGCACGAGCCCCGCGGACTTGGCAACAACCGATTGTGGACGACGCAGGATCGTCGGTGCGTGAAGCACGCGCACGTTAACGCGGATCGAGTTGTCATAAGCGTAATCCCCGGCGTCGGATCGCGACGCTCGCGGAATGATCATGTTTCCGGGATGACCGACCGTCGTGGCAGAAGGGGAGAGATCATTGTCCAGACGACGCCAACGCGAATCTGCTGGCGGCACTACTGGGACAGACGTGCCCTGCGGCACGTATTCGAAGACAACGGCTTCACCTTCGAGGACTGTCACTTCTTCTGGCGTTGAGTAGGAGATCCCTGATGCGGCGTCCGGGGTGTCGGCGACTGTCAAGACGCCCTCTGGACTCGTCACATCTCGTCGAAGGGCTTCGTTTCTCGCGACACACCTGAAAAAAGGCAAAGAGTGAAATTCAGTGACGGACTGACAAAGTGATACGTGAACGTGAAATGTAAAAGAAACAAGGAGAGGTGATGCGAACCTCGATTTTGCGAGATAATTCATTCCCACATCTTATGCTCCCTCATTCTTGTACAGTACTCCGTTCCTCAAAATTGAATCATACTTTTTGCGCGGTTTTGTAAAACATAAAACTCCTAAGTGAAGCTGTACTACCGTTTTCGGTTTGCTCTTTTACGTAATTTCCTTCCATCGACCTCTTTTTTTTTCCAACACACAAGAGAAATCTAACAATTCAACTATGAGAAAAAGTGATCCAGACTGCTCATTAGTTGAATGGTGAAAACCATGATCGTCAAAATTTGTTTCTCTTAGTTTACGAGATCTAAGAACAGTTTATAATTCGTAAAAAATGTTTTCTGCAGGAGATGCGTAAAATGTACGTGAATAGAAGGATCTTGGGGAGACGACAATAATTTACACTGAATGCACTCATTTGCTGATTGGAGTAGACGCAAAAAAGTTGCAGCAGAGAATGCAAGAGTAAACTGAAGTATAGTACTGTAAGTAGAAATACAGTATATAATTTTTACCACAGCCAGCGATTGAAGCAACAATCGGCAAAGAGGATGATTGAAAGTTTGAAACACATGCTCCGACGAGTTTTTCTTCTTTTTTTAAAATCGTTTGCGAATAGTAATACGGTATACACCACAGTACAGTATCTTCGTCCAGCTGGCAGCATGTGCGTGAATCACTGCTGGCATTGCGCGAATAGCATTACAGTGGTATTCTTCCAAAGCAATTTTGAAAGCAATATCGTCGAGGAAATAGCATCTGCTCTTCCGTATTTGCGAAACATTTTTTTTTAATATTCTACCCGAGGTTATAAAGGTTGTAAAGACGTCCCGACGATTTTACTTCAAGCCTACCCTTTCGTGACTATGCAAAAGGCACTCTGTCCCACCGGCAGCATTATGGTACAGTATTTCAATGTGCTCGCAAACCACTCAATCAAAAGCGGAATTGATTTCAGCGTGATTTTCCAAAAATTTGTCAAAAACATGATTCTCACGATATAGCCGTTCGAGAAAAAATTTCACTTTCTGCTATACCGTGTTTCGCCACCATAGTAGGTGATCTCCACAAACGACGATGCGTCATCTCTTCTTCACACATGCGCAGCACCACGACAATCATCACCGGGCGCCTAGCTGTGGTACCACTGCCACCATCATCGGAACGCGACGCGTGCGTAAGACAAGTTTAAAAAAAATAAAGAGGCCCTCAACAAGACCATTACAGTAAACGGTTCGCGCGCCAGATGAGAGCAAAAAACCGCGCGTACGGGGGGAAAAAATGAACGAGAACAGGAAACGGTTGGACTGACGGGAAATCGAACGGATAAATGCGACACTGCGGTGTCCCCAAAGCGAAGCAATTAGAGTGGGGGAACAGAGATCCTAATGAATAAGACGAAGCGTTTGTGGACCGCAGGAACATCATCAACACCGCCATCACTTCCCACACACACACACTCACAGTCACACGACACCAACACCATACCCCCATATGGAACAGGAAAGATATATTGTAATTCTCTTGTTGTGCTTCTTTTCATGCCTTGTTATAAATCGTTTTGGGGGGCTTTGTTCAAGCGTCACCACAAGGGACTGGTCTTACCGTCATGAGTGACTTACTGGTTATACTGTACCAGTGTTCAACCCCTGGTGCGCGGACGGTAACTAGCCAAAAGACGTTCTTTGCCTGTCCAAGGATAACTTTCTTCAACATAATACATTTTATCAAAAGCTGACTATTATATTTACCTGAAATTTGGGAGAGACAATTGCAGTTGAAAATTATTGCATGAAAATTAAAAGTTAGCTTTTCTCCCAAAAAGGCTTCAGACAAATTTTCACCAGCTGAAATAAATTATTTTAATTTTTCATTCTGAGAAACATTTCAAGCCCATTTTTTTTATGAAGTTCCACTAGAGCTGATTCATTTTATTCTTGAATTGATTTTTGCAAAAGGCAGAAACTTTTTAAAAACTTGCCATGAAGTCTTTCAAACCAAATTTTTGAGACTGCAAAAAATTTATGAATAAAACTTTGCCAGTTTTACAGAAAATTTTATGAAATTTTTCAGGTCCACAGAAGGAGAAATCATAGCTGGTCTGCAGACCCATAAAAGATAGGGGAAAATTGGATTATACAGTTGAACCTGATAACCTCAAACCTGGAGAAAGTCATATACAACATTTGAACATCCATAAGTGGAATACTGTACATCCATAAGTGGAATACTGTACATCCATAAGTGGAATACTTTACCTCCCTATGTCCACTTTTTTCAAGTCCCTGCCTGAGTCCCATAGAAACAATGGATTAAAAACCTTTTTATCTCAAGGGCTTTCCCATCAAACCTTTGTAACTCAAATTTTCTGCCAGCACTAATCTTACCAAATCGTTGCCACTAAATGACTCAGATGCAAAAAAGGTTGGCCACCCCCTCCATCCGCGGAACCGGAAGTTCCGAGCGTAGGCGTATACAACCCCAATCCCATCGCAAACCCCAGAAAAAAATCATCATCCCCACTGGTGAAAAAATTAATTTCCTGCTATTAGTGTTCAAGCTCTGACACCTAAATACCCCCATGTTTTTTTCTGTGGCTAAGTGAAGTGAGTAACTGAGCAGACGCCCATTTCATCCCATTTCGAAACAACATTCATACCACGCCTTTCATCGACAATCCTTTTCATGAAAGGATTCATCGAGCATCGATCACCGCGAGAACCCAACCAAAACTTCATGATCATTCATTAGAGGTAAAACGATGTCGTCATGAGACAAGAATACACGAATAACTGAGACAATATACCTGTAATAGAATTCTTTTTTTTTTTCATAAACCATTTCGAAAGCTTTCTTAATAAGGCTCGAGTGTTGATGAGTGAGAGAAAAATTCGATACTCTAAATAGTCTGAAGTAAATTTATTTAGACCTTGTTTTTTTTCGGCTTCAGATGTTTTTAAACCCTTCATATCTTTTTCGAAGTTCTTGATAATGCATTTCCGGTGACTTGTACCTCGACAAGAAAATTACACGCATTGTTTTGTGAACTGAAATAAATCATATTCGCAGTAAATGTTCGACATGATTAAAAACGGCGGAATTCATATTGCCGATAGAAAAACGTTCTTGCACAAACCAAAATCACATTCACAAAACTAATTTCTTCAACTAAAGTAGAACCTTGATAACTCAAACCTTTTCAAGTCCGATTCTTTTTGTCAGTCCCCACCTGGATTCCCTTGGAAATAATCCATAAAAAATATCTAACCCGGATTTTTCTTTGAAATCTCGGTAATCGAATTTCCCCATAAATTTTGGCTGGTTATTTTCTTGAGACAGGGAAGAGAAAAGCCAAAAAAAAATTTCAATTGATGTGGCTTGAAAGAAAGAAGAAAGTTAAAGATTAATGGGCAAATGAACCCTTGCCTTCAAGTTCAGCATCCTGTCAACTCATTTTAGAAACAATTGTAAGGCCCAGAATATCACAAATCACAATGTTCTATAATTTTGCTATCTTTGCCACAAAAAAAAATGAATGTTACCCTAACTTGAAAACTCCCAAAATCAACTCTTTTTTTTTTTGCTGATCCTTTGAAATTCAATGGTATAATTTCACTGCAATGATGTAAATGACAAATGGAAAATACACGTGGTACCTTGCAATTTGACCTTAATCCGTTGCCAAACTAGGGTCAAATTTCAAAGTGATGAAATTGCAAGACACGTTGTGAAATTAAAAAATTTCAATGCAAAAAATGGCCAAAGCAGGTGAAATTGTGAGGCTAGGGTTGAATTGTGAGTCAACATCCCTGCAAATTCAACCTTCAAATTTTGGGATGGTCAAATTGCACAGTACCACCTGTATGTGAAAGTAATGCTTGATGCAAACATGTTTTCATTTTGCAATTAGACAAATACTTCCACTTTGAAAAAAAACTCCCAGAGTATTTAGTCATTTTCACCAAGTCTAAAGCATCAATTATACATTTGTTGAACACAACCCCCAGGCGATATACAGTACAGTATTCTAAAAATACCTAGAAAATCATGATACAGTACTGTACTGTACACCGAGTCCATTCAAGAATGGAATTCCCCTCAAATTAAAATGTCTTTGCAGCAGCAAGTAAAAAAAAAACCCCTAACCCTAATCCTAATCTTCCCACGAAGAACAATACTCTTTGTAATCAATTTACGAGTTGGTATCCTCTGAGTTAGGTGAGCCTCCGGGAACAAAACTACTGAACAAGGAAATCCTCATTGTTCCACCACCGGGGTCGAAACTGGTGATCCCACCTTNCACGAAGAACAATACTCTTTGTAATCAATTTACGAGTTGGTATCCTCTGAGTTAGGTGAGCCTCCGGGAACAAAACTACTGAACAAGGAAATCCTCATTGTTCCACCACCGGGGTCGAAACTGGTGATCCCACCTTACATATACAATACTATATACAATGATACCCCCTGCTGTTCCGTCCCACACGCAAAAAGCCCACATGAAGTGATTTCATGAATAAACATAAAATCCCACTCGTAATGAAAACCTTAGTCACGGATCCAAGAAAATTAAGGCCTCGCAGTTCGTGATAATTTTTCAACCCCCCCACTGGGCATGCACAAGGAATGACCCTCCTCAGAAGTCAAAGTTTCTTCGGTTTTAACGGCATTTCAAGCATTTAAAAGATGAGGATTATTTTTTACATTTTCTCCGAAAAAAAAGAGAGAATATGTTGTGGTCTTTTCTCACCTGTAGTTACCCGCATCCGACGGTGAGACCTCCAAAATTTGAAGCGTTCCAGATGGAAGGATGATATACCTGCGAAATTAACAAGGAACAATAATGTATTAATCGAAAAGAATCATCATGATTTTTCTTCGTCATAATTGCTTGTAAATGCACTCATCCGTCAAGAAAAGAACGCAACTTACGATGGGACCAATCAGCTTTGATTAAACTGGTTTGGCCCAGAAATGTGTCTCATTGAGAGTTGAGACAAAAGCAAATAAAAAAATCTACAACACATCCACAAACACCTTCAATATACTGTACAGTCAAACCTCTGAAATTCAAATTTCAAGGGACCTGCAAAAAATTCAATTTAGGGAGGTCTTGAATTTACAGAGGTTTTAGCTACAATACAAAGCCCTTTTTGTTCTGGGAAACTTAGAAAAATGCTCAAAATTGTAAATTATGAAATTCTAGGGCTCAAATGGCTTCTTAAATGAGTTAAAAGGATGCTCAACTTGGAGGCAGGGGTTCATTTGCCCAATTAAGTCTTTAACTTCCTTTAAAAAACATCAGTTTATGTTTTTATTGCGTTTTTCTCTTTATTGGACCAAGATGATAATAACAAGAAAGGAAATAATAATAATAGGCCACAGAAAATTCAACTTATGGAGGTTTGGGGGAAAGCCCTCAACTTAGGGATGTTTTGAATGTATTGTTTTTAAGGGGATTCAGATGGGGACCTGAAAAAAATATTGGACTTGAGAGGGTTTGAGTTGACATTCAAAAAAAGGGCCATAAGCTGATGTAAGTTATAAATTTCATAAAAAAGTACTGTTTAATTATGAATTCAAATTAATTCCACAAATTGAAAATTTGAGCTACAAGAAGTTCTGCAAAAATTAGACCCCCAAAAACTCTGTACTTGAAACTTGCCACACACAGTTGAACATTTATAACTTGAACCTCCTCAATTCAATTACTTCTCTAAGTAAACTTTTTCCAAAGGCTATGTCTGAATTTCACTAGAAACAACGCATTAAAAATCCTCATCAACTATACAAGGATTACAAACCTTCATGCTCAAATTTTCAGGAGTATTTTGGGCTATTATTTTATTGACACAGGAAAAAGATAAACCATAAAAAGTGTAACTTGAAGTATTTTAAAAGGGAGTGAAAGACTGCTTGGGCTAATAAACCCTTGCCTCCAACTTCATCAGCCCATCAACTCATTCAAGGAGCAATTCAAGTCCCAGAATATCACCAATTACAATTCCCCATGTTTTTTCATTCTTCTCTTGAACGAAAATTTTTGGGTACTTTCCTATTATCTCAGTACCTCATTCCTAGACCGCACTACCATCCAGACAAATCTTTGGACGAGTTCATAATCACGACGACCTACCAGAAACTGTGAATTTTATTTTTCCGCATTCTGCTGAAACTTAAGCGTGATGCAACCCTTTGCTCTTTCTTCTCACAGATCTGCGGGTCTCTTTTTTTTTCCGTCGTTTCGACGCTTTTTCTTTTTTTCTTCTTAAATTTTTCTCAAATAATTAATACAGCAGCCAACAGGTAAAACAAAGCCGCTACTATAAAGCAGGACGAAAAACAAAGGAATGTTTTGTGAAGAGAACTTAATTGTGCGAATGCGCTTTATTACTCGAGAGCGGATGAAATTGGAACTTTGGTCGCTTCTGAATATAAATATATTTGCTTTTTCCGCTGAGGGGAAATGAAAGTACTGCGGTACTTATTTTTTCCGCAAGTACTAGACAATACTGTACAGAGGATTAATGCTAGACACGAATTGCAAGAATTAGGTTCATCAGCAGTTCTTCAACTTTTGCGTTTTTTTCAGCATTTCATATTTAATATTACTGATCCACGGGTTTTTTTTACACGTGTGAGGATATACAGTATTTTAAAACCCATGCACTTACACAAGTGGACTCCCTTTACAGTCTACAACAATCTTGTCTGTAGTGATTTTCTCTGTTGAACGATTTTTTGGTCCTATATATAAGGGTTTTATTTCCATGCTATATGGGTTCTTTACATCAAAGTTCACTCTACAACGAAGTTTTGGTACTTTCCTGTTATCTCAGTACCTCATTCCTAGACCGCACTACCATCCAGACAAATCTTTAGGATGAGTTCATAATCATGACGACCTACCAGAATCTGTGAATTTTATTTTTCCGCATTCTGCTGAAACTGATTTTAGGAGGCAGTTAGGTAAAGTTAGGTTACGTCAGGTTATGTTAGTTACAAATATATTTTAATTAACATAACCAGACATAACTTAACTTTACCTAACCGCCTCCCAAAATCAGTTTCAGCAGAAACCCAAAGAAAGCAGAAACTGATTTTGGGAGGCGGTTAGGTGAAGTTAGGTTAGGTCAGTTTAAATTGGTCAGAGGGAAGGTACAGAGATAACAGGAAAGTACCAATTTGTGTTTCCCCAGCTGCAAATTTAAAACCTCCCACCCACAAATTTATTTTGCTGGTCCCTTGAAGTTTGACTTGAGGTTTGACTGTATTTCAAAAGAGAGATAACAACACACACACACACACACACACACACACAAAGCATTTGGAAGAAGAAAAATCAATCTCACCGGTCATCCTGAGGTAGAGGCTTGCGATTCAATTCCCACTCGATCCTCGCCGTGGGCAAAGAGTCGATTTCGCACGGGAATCGCACGATTTGTCCAGACGCCGCAAAAACGGGGACCTGCGGGGCGGCGGTGGTGGTCAACGTCGTCGTCTCGGACGCCGCCGTTTCTTCTCCGCCACCGACGTCCGCGTCGCCGCCGTCTTTCCGGTTCTTACCGCCGCCGCCGCCGGTTTTCCCTCGCTTTCGTTCGTCCTTGTTCTTCTTTTTGCGACCCCGCTTGCCGCCGGCGCCACGGGGTTTTCCGGTGGCGGCGTCGTTGTTTTTACCCCTCGGCCCTTCCACCCAACCGGGATACTCGGCGAAGGTTGAGCTCATGTCTGCGAAGGATTCACGAAAATGAAAGAAAAAATCATTAGCCAATCGAAGGATTGCTTCCGTGTCGTCGAATTAAAATTGCGAAAAAATAACATCGTCGAAGACCCTTGAAACCAAAAATCTTCCATCGAATTTTCAAATCGAAACATTTTTCTAAAGCTTTTTTCAATGTAATCAAAAGCAGCTTTCGACCCTTAAAATTAAAATTCAATCAAAAGCGTGTTTCCACCTCTAATTTTTTTTTAAAAACAGGATATACATTGGGAAACATTTTTAAAGCGTTTTAGTTGAAGTACAACATGGAGGCTTAAACAAATATTTCAGAAAAACAAACAAGTCAAAATGTAAGTTCCTTCAACATACGTCGCATGAAATTTCCATACATAAATAATTCCAAGCAACTTTTCAAAAATGAGACCTAATGCGATAAAAATGTCCCTGAATTGTTATGGGAGGAAAGATTGGGACATTTTTTTCTGGAAAATTTGTAAATGGGCTGGCTCACACATTCTGTCAGTCTTTCACATCTGTAAAGTGGTTTGTTTTTAATTGCGCTATTCTGAAAAGATTATTAATTAATTTTCCAATTTTAGACCATTTCCCAGTTGAACTGAAAATAATAATAAAAAATACTGATAATTCTTTCCATCTTTGTAATGAAATGAAGGTCCAATTTTCTGGCTTATTTCATTCAATAACGAACACGTGCTTTTATTTTCCATTAATGATACCAAATTAATCACTTCTGAGGGTGAAGCTAAGAACCATGCAACAGCAGAAATTTTTTTTACATCTGTTGATCATTTTCAGTTTTAGCAAATGTGGTAAGCGTTTTTAGAATGTCAACTGATGCACCCAATGTTGATGCCAGTAAACACGTATTTAATGAACTGAAAAAGTCAAATTGCCATTATCCAGAACTGTTCATCCAACAATATCAATATATAAAAAATAATTTCAGGACTCTTGGCTAATTCACTTTGAGTGAACCTTAAAGTTCAGAGGGCCTCAGTCTTTTGTTTCTTTGAAACTAACTTCAACATCAACTAGTGTCTTGGAACTTATGAAGGCAAATGCCTAATACTATTGAAAATCCAGTGACCAAACATTACTACAGCATATTGTTTTTCTTAGGAACCCCCAGAATCCCTTGCCTTACATTTCTGTCTGTTCTTAGTCTTAAAGTTTTGTTCAAGTCTTGGAGTAAATTCATTTCATAAATTGGAGGGACGTTTTTATACAGAAGGCTGCTGTTGGCAAATTTAATAGTAAACTCTGATAAACTTGAAGGGTAAGCACCATAGAATTGTGTCTTTAAAACAAAACAAAAAATGCCTCACAAAAACCATTTTACAGAACATGAGGAAGTTTCTGAGCAAATAACAGAAGAATGTCCGATGAATACTTGTGTACTCCAAACCCCTCTTTTTCTATCATTGCTCATGCAAGCAAAAAGCTCAAAAATACACTTTCACAGTTGAAACAATATTGTGTGTATCTTTAAAAATGAAAAAATAAATAAAATAAAATGACAGAACAGTGAGCTTTTTCGCACGACCCCAAGAAGCCTCATTTCCTTGTCCACAGAAGTACAGCACGACGATTTATAACCGGATTCGAGCATCATGGATTGCTTGAAACTCTGTGCAGGGTACAGTACAGCGTATTTCCGTTCTCACGCGGCAGGTTAACGATAAACCATCATGAAGTGGCCCAGTACCCCAACAGACAGGACCGCAAACACGCAGAGAAAGAATTCATTTTCGACCAAGGGTGTTACCCACTTCCTCGCACAACAGTCATAAATGGCTCCCGGGGGTCGACATGAATTCCATCGTGTGTCTCCCGCAAATAATGTTTTCTCTTTCTTTTCTTTTTTCCCAATGTCAAGTACAGTACGGATAAAAGCAGAAGGGACAGATGTTACAAGTGTTGCTGGCAATAAATCATTCTTTTTTTCCGGTGGATCCGCTCGGTCTTTAAACGCTCGTAATAAATCTTACCGGTACTGTTGTAGGACGTTTTTTTGTTGTTGTACGTTTCATAAAAACCAGTCGAAAGCAGGATAAAAAAAAATACAGTCCCCTGTCCCCGTAATTAATCTCGTCACTTCGTCACCTGAACTCCGGTAAAATATAAATCAGAGACGATTTTATGGCAAAAACGGCTTTCAGGTCATGATTAGTTTCTCAGTCAGTCAGTCAGGGCAAAGAGACGAAATTTCATTTGCAACCAAGAAATCACTGCAAGAACTTTGAGCAAAATTTTTATTTTTATTTTTTGGAATGAATACTGAAAGTGAAAGATTAATTCAACAAATAGACCCTCGCCTCCAAGTTCCGTCAACTCACTTATGAAGCAATTAAAGGACTAGAATATCAATATTTACAATTTCTTGTACATTTTTTTTCTTTCACCCAACAAAAATGGTTGTTTCCCCCAGCACCTGGAAAAAACATCCATAACTCGAATTTTGTGCTGGTCTTCTGAAATTCGACTTGAAATGCTGTAGGTTCGACTGTATATGCGTAGAAACTACTTAAACTCTGTCACCTGATAAAACAGAGGCACTCGAATTATTCATCCGAATACATTTGAGTAAGGGATAATTAAATTCTTAAATTAGTAGAGCATTTAAAGGAGTTTCTTCTAATTTAGACTGTAACCCATTTTCCAAATAAAGCAAACAAACACCAACGAAAAACTCGCGCGTTTCAATTTTGTGAATGTTAATTGAATGAAACGGATTCTAAAGACTGTAAATCTGCTTCAAATAAAACAAAACTAAACTAAAACAACAATGAAAAACACGCGCGTTTCCATTTCGTGAATGAAATTGAATGAAAGGGATTCTAAAAATACGAAGATATAATTAAAAACAAAGGCTATGCTGGGTATATTCAAGAAAACGCGGTGACCTTGCTGCCACTTCAATTATTGAATAGGTCAAGCCCTTTTAAAAGGTCTCACCTTCCTTCACACAGTGTACTGCTGTTTCTAGAGTACAGTGTTTCCCACGAACGATTTTATCGTACATTTCCCCCAATCGGCCCAGTATAAGGTCACCAGCGCGAAAATAAACATGTGCCATATATACTGTACAGGTATATATTATATAAATATATTATATATGCACTTGACGACGACGACGTTTGGATCAAAGCCCTCACATTTCCTCAGCCCGTCAAAACAAAGAATTCCGGTGAAACGGTGTATGGACTGTATGCTAATGCATGAGTTTGTATATTTTCGTCGACTTTTGAGCACAGCGGGGTTAAAAACGAGATTCCGGAAATCCGAGGGATTTTCACCGAAGAAGTGGGAAATGAGTCAAAATTTGACAGATTTGGCAGCATTCGTTCCGAACAGGACGATGGATAAAATTAATTCTTCGCGGTGTGTCCGACAAAAATAACACAAGCATTATTTTTTTTTATAATTCTTCTCCAAAAATTTTTTTATAATTTCATGTTTTAAGGTCCTATATTATTCAGATGAGTATATCCAGGAAATTCCTGAATCACGATTGGAATCAACCGCTCGGCGATGAATCCTTTTTCAGAAAAATTTGAATTGAAAATAAATCTTCAAATACACTGAACTGAGGTATTTTTTGAGCAAAAGGAAGCCTGTACCCAGGAAGAAGAGGGCCTCGTTTTCGCTCGATGTATCGACTCGGGTGGCAAATCAAAGTAAACGATCACAGTTCTATAATGAGAGATACAGTGAGACCCCTCACATGTAGACAATTTGACATAGGGACACTCATTTTCCCATCAAATAATGATAAAAAACGGCCTGACATGAGGACACTCACACAACATAGGGACATTTTGTTATAAAATTGCAAAAAAAGTTGCAGGCCAAATTACAAGAAACAGATATTTCCAACCCTGAAATTGATGTAAGAAAAGTTCTTGGGCATTTCTCTCATCAATTTACCATTCATTTAGCTAATTAAAAAAATTACCTCCAGCGGAGAGGGACTTCCTTTGCTCATTTTCACTTGAATGTTATTTTTTTTACAGAGAATGCCAACATTTCTATGTNCAGTTGAAACAATATTGTGTGTATCTTTAAAAATGAAAAAATAAATAAAATAAAATGACAGAACAGTGAGCTTTTTCGCACGACCCCAAGAAGCCTCATTTCCTTGTCCACAGAAGTACAGCACGACGATTTATAACCGGATTCGAGCATCATGGATTGCTTGAAACTCTGTGCAGGGTACAGTACAGCGTATTTCCGTTCTCACGCGGCAGGTTAACGATAAACCATCATGAAGTGGCCCAGTACCCCAACAGACAGGACCGCAAACACGCAGAGAAAGAATTCATTTTCGACCAAGGGTGTTACCCACTTCCTCGCACAACAGTCATAAATGGCTCCCGGGGGTCGACATGAATTCCATCGTGTGTCTCCCGCAAATAATGTTTTCTCTTTCTTTTCTTTTTTCCCAATGTCAAGTACAGTACGGATAAAAGCAGAAGGGACAGATGTTACAAGTGTTGCTGGCAATAAATCATTCTTTTTTTCCGGTGGATCCGCTCGGTCTTTAAACACTCGTAATAAATCTTACCGGTACTGTTGTAGGACGTTTTTTTGTTGTTGTACGTTTCATAAAAACCAGTCGAAAGCAGGATAAAAAAAAATACAGTCCCCTGTCCCCGTAATTAATCTCGTCACTTCGTCACCTGAACTCCGGTAAAATATAAATCAGAGACGATTTTATGGCAAAAACGGCTTTCAAGTCATGATTAGTTTCTCAGTCAGTCAGGGCAAAGAGACGAAATTTCATTTGCAACCAAGAAATCACTGCAAGAACTTCAGCAACATTTTTGTGTGTGTGTGGAGTGGATACTGAAATTGGAAGATTAATTAAACAAATACACCCTTGCCTTCAAGTTCCGTCAACTCACTCATGAAGCAATTGAAGGACTAGAATATAAATATTTACACTTTCTTGGAATTTTTTTTTCGTTCATCCAACAAAAATGGTT